TTTTTTTTTTTTTTCTTTTCTTGGTTATTTTCAAAATATTGATGTCCAATGACACTATCAGGCATGATGGCGGAAATCACAACAACACTTGCAGCTATGGGAATTACTATATGTTCTTGTGCTGTGAGTTCAGAATGATAACATGATGATATCCTTTTTTTTTTTAATTTTTTTTACTAGAGATACAATTTTGAAATAATTTTAACGGTGGCCTGAATTTGGCAGGCAGAAATCGACCGAGAGAAAGGAATGGGTGTCATGTTGTTTCACGTTGAAGCTAGTTTGGACAATTTGGTGCGTCTCGAAAACCAAAATTGCTAGTGTTTTTTTTTTTTTTTTCTTATTTGATTCTGAATTCTAAACATTAATGTTGTGCCCCATTTTCTCAGGCGAGTGCGTGTTCAAAGGTGGATTTAATTCTTGGTGTTCTTGGGTGGTCAACTGGTTGCAGCTGGCTGAGCTCGAATGAGAACCACCAGTTTCTAGAGTGTTAGTCTGTGGTCGGGCGATGACTGTATAGAGCTTTATCAGCTGCTGAAATGTTCCGACAAAAAAGTTCTGCTTACAGAGAACTGAGTTTTTGTCTTTCTTTTTTTGTTGGTTTGGGGAGGAAGGGTCGATCCTACCCCAATGGGATTCTTTTTAACTCTTAATCGTTGGATCAGGCACACTCACAGATACACCCTTTGGGGTGTGGGTTGATCCAATGGTTAAAAAAAACCCTGTGGGGGCCCCAATGGGTTAAGGATGAATTTCACTGTTTAGGAAAAGTTTTTACCATTTTGTTCTAAAATTCTTTTGAAACCTATTAGTAAATCAGTGAAAGTGTACTAGCAAGTCTGTGGGTGGTCCAGGGACTGTATATAAAAGGAAGAGTGGTAGACTGTAGTCAATAGAAAGTGTAGTATATATACATGTAAAATGGATCTTTACGCTTTGAGACGAGGAAAATTATTACACCGGGCGACAATTTACCATATGTTGTCTGTTCCAAATACCTCTTAGGATGTGTTTATACCTGGTGGTCCCTTCAACTGTTACTTACCCTCCCTCATTTGCGGTATCATGTATGGGTATAATTTGTGGTCTTTCTACCTCCTCTAATACAGATTGTCATTCAATCTGAATATTGAAGGTGAGTTATCTATAATTTTTCATTTACAACTTAAGGGTATACTTAATTGTAACTCTTAAAAACTTTTTAAAGTGAGTGACTGATTGATTTTGTGAAATTTTAATGACTTTGGTAGATAATAGGAGATTTTCATAGAATTCTTAGCAGACTTTAAAACTTAAAGCTTTTATGATCTGCATTTTTAAACTTATTGAGACTTTTGTATATTTTTAATATAATTATTATGTTTGGATGTTGCATCATAATTAATATCAATAAAATCAAGATAATTTTTTTTTTTTTTTTTTTAAAAAAAATATTGATATGAAATAAATTCTGATACCCAACACTAGTTATACAACAAGGAGAGAAAAAAAAAAAATAAAAAAATAAAAAAAATTGTAGCATTACAATTGTGTAAGTAAAAGACAAGGAAAAGATGAATAAATAATCCTCTAAAAAATTGTGAATCAACTATAGAATTTGCGAACACAACTTGATTATGCTCGTGAAAGCTCATGTTCGACTCGTTTGTTTTATTAAATGAATCGACGTTGAACAACTAATCGAGTTTGGTTATTAGACGAACAAAAGTGTGTGTTTATTCATGAAACACTCATTTTTTTGTTATGTATTTTTCATAAAATACACAGCCGTGTCGAACTTATTTGCAAAAATAATTTATTTTCACAAGCAACTCGTTTAGGGCCTTAGGTTTATTAAACGAGTCATGTCAATCCGAGCTTTCGCAAGATTCAACAAGTTACTCGAGTGGAGCTTTTTAGTCATTTATTAAACAAACACAAGCTCAAACATGACTTACTCATCTCAGATTGAATGACACCCATAATCAATGACAGAGCTGTACGGGAGCCGGGGGGCCCGTGGGTCCCCCTGATTTTTTTTAAATCCAATATATATATATATATATATATATTAAAATACTAGTATTGTAAAAATGTATAGAAATGTAAAAATACTATAAAATATGTATAAAAATGTAAAAAAAAAAAAAATTTACAATATACTAATAATTAAAAAACATTTTATGTAATTTTAATTTAAATTAATAATATAACTTATTACTAAATAATGTACCGACAATCCTTGTATTTAACATTTCTAGATAAGTTTTTTAAAATATTTATAATGATTTAAGGTCTCTTAATTGTAAATCGATTTAATGATTTATAAAACTCTGTATTTAGTTAGATTGTTACATTTTTTAATGTTGGTTTTTTACTCTTTTTTTTTTTTGTAATCACATATTTATAAAATTATTTTTTTTTTTTCTTAAAAAATTGTTCATTTGATATGCTCTTATCAACAAAAATTTTATGCAATGTGCTGCAAAAATTCAATTGAAAATCAAATTTTCAACCAAAAAACTTATTTTTCCATAAACTATATAGATGTTGAACTTAAATTATAAATACATGAAATCTCATATGTTTTTGTTTAGTAATAAGGATTTTAAGTTCTTAAAAACTTGATGTTACACTTATCGATATCTATATATATATAAAAAGATTTACCATTTTTCAAAAATGGCAGGTCAATTTTGGTCAATACTTGGTCTGCATTTAATGCTTTCCTTTAATGGCAACTTTAAAAAAAATC